TTCTGCCTGCTGGGTGCCCAGCCACTGCTGGTGATTGGCTTCTCGGGGCCCCTGCTGGTCTTCGAGGAGGCCTTCTTCTCGGTGAGGGTTCTTCCCGCCCAGCTCCAGCTGCCCCTCCTCTGCCCTAGATGCCTCCCCCAGCATCCCTGCCCAGAGCCTGGGACCTGACTGCCCTCGCCTCCAGTTCTGTAGCAGCAACCACCTGGAGTACCTGGTGGGCCGTGTGTGGATCGGCTTCTGGCTGGTGCTCCTGGCCCTGCTCATGGTAGCCCTGGAGGGGAGCTTCCTGGTCCGCTTCGTCTCCCGCTTCACCCAGGAGATCTTCGCCTTCTTGATCTCACTCATCTTCATCTATGAGACCTTCTACAAGCTGGTGAAGGTGGGCAAGCCCTGCCAAGAGCTGGGCCAGGAGGGCTGAGGTTTCAGGGCTGGAGGGAGTCTCTTGGTCCCATCCTCTGGATTCGAGGCCAGGCTAGTCTGGAGTGTCCCTGGGGCTTGTTGCCAACACACACACCAGGGCCTCAGATCAGTCTTTTAATGAATGGAATTAATTTTTGAGACAGTCTCACTCTGTCACCCAGGCTGGAGTACAGTGGCATGACCTTGGCTTACTGCCACTTCCATCTCCCAAGTTCAAGCAGTTCTCCTGCCTCAACCTCCCCAGTACCTGGGATTATAGATCTGTGCCACCATGCCCAAATAATTTTTGTATTTTTAGTAGAGACGACATTTCACCATGTTGGCCAGGCTGGTCTTGAATGCCTGACCTCAGGTGATCCACCCACCTCGGCCTCCCAAAGCGCTGGTACCATCGGAGTGAGCCACCGTGACTGTCTTGATTTATTTCTAAACATTAACTCAAACCAGATAGATCAGTCATTCAAAAACTCATAGTTTTATTTATTTTTTTTTGAGGTGGAATCTCACTCTGTCACCAGGCTGGAGTGCAGTGGTACAATCTCGGCTCACTGCAACCTCTGCCTCCCACATTCAAGCGATTCTCCTGCCTCAGCCTCCCCAGTAGCTGGGACTACAGGTGCCCACCACCATGCCCAGCTAATTTTTATATTTTTAGTAGAGACGGGATTTCACCATGTTGGCCAGGATGGTCTCAATCTCCTGACCTTGTGATCCACCCGCCTCGGCCTCCCTCCCAAGGTGCTGGGATTACAGACGTGAGCCGCCGTGCATGGCCTCTTTTTTTTTTTTTTTTTTTTTTTTTGGAGACGGTGTTGCCCGAGGCTACAGTGCAGTTTTGGTGCGATCTCTGCTCACTGCAACCTCTGCCTTCTGGGTTCTCCTGCGTTAGCCTCCCAGATTACAGGCACATGCCACCATACCTGGCTAATTTTTTTTGTATTTTTTTAGTAGAGATGGGGTTTCGCCAGGCTCCACCTCAGCCTCCCAAAGTGCTGGGATCATGGGTGTGAGCCACTGCACTTGGCCAAAAACTCCAACTTTTACTTCTTAAAAACTTCTATATTTAATGGCACAGTGGCGCCATTAGAGCTCACTGTTACCTCAAACTCCTGGGCTCAAGTAATCCTTCTGCCTCAGCCTCCCTAACAGCTGGGACTAGGTGGGCACCACCATGCCTGGATGATTTTAAAATTTTTTGAAGAGGCCTACCTATATTGCCCAGGCTTGTCTGGAACTCCTGGCCTCAAGCCATCCTCCTGCGTTGGCCTCCCAAAGCGTTGGGGTTGTAGGCAGGAGCCACTGGCCTAGTTTATCTTTTTATTTTTTTACTTCATTTTATTTATTTGTTTTTTTTGACACAGAGTGTTGCTCCATTGCCCAGGCTGGAGTGTAGTGGCACGATCTCAGCTCACTGCAACTTCGGCCTCCCAGGTTCAAGCAATTCTGCCTCTGCCTCGACCTCTCGAGTAGCTAGAATTACAGAGGCATACCACGGCCCAGCTAATTTTTGTATTTTTAGTAGAGATAGAACAGGCTGGTCTCGAACTCCTGACCACAAGTGATCTGCCTACCTCAGCCTCCCAAAGTGCTGGAATTACAGGCGTGAGCACATGCTTTTGTTAAAATGTCAAACAATCCAGGAGTGTAGAAAGGGGAAAGGCTCCAGAGCTGACAGTCAGTCTGGGCATGAGACATGTGTGACAGGCCACTCTGGTTCTCTGTGCTCATGTCCTCCTCTTTCAGGCCCCTGGATCCTCACTGGGCCTGGCTGATGCCACTCACCAGCTGCCTTCCTGACTTACATCAGCTGCTCAGTCTTTTCCGCCCCACACTGCCCTGTGCTCACAGCTGGTTCTCTGGGTCATTGTCTTAATTCAACAAGACAAGCTCCTTGAAAGCAGGCCAGCCTTTCCCCTGCCCCACCCCTCCCACCCAACGCTCACTGAGCCCCACAAACCTCTCTGCAGTCTAGCTGATGGAGGCCGTGTGGCCTCCTCTCCCCAGATCTTCCAGGAGCATCCCCTACATGGCTGCTCAGCCTCCAACAGCTCAGAGGTGGACGGCGGTGAGAACACGACATGGGCCGGTGCCAGACCCACGCTGGGGCCGGGCAACAGGAGCTTGGCTGGGCAGTCTGGGCAGGGGAAGCCCCGGGGCCAGCCCAACACAGCCCTGCTGTCACTGGTGCTTATGGCCGGCACCTTCTTCATCGCCTTCTTCCTGCGCAAATTCAAGAACAGCCGGTTCTTTCCTGGCCGGGTGCGTGGGCTTAAAGGCCAAGAGGGGGTTAGGGGCAGGAAGGGAGGTGGCAGGGAGTCAGGGGCTGTGGTGGCAGGCCTCTGAGCGCTGTGCCTGCTCACTCAGATCCGGCGGGTGATTGGGGACTTTGGGGTGCCCATCGCCATCCTCATCATGGTGCTTGTGGATTACAGTATTGAGGACACCTATACCCAGGTAAGGTGCTGCTGCCTCTGCCACCCCAGGTCTAGGGGCTCCCCTCCAGCCTCCAGATCCAGCCTGTCCTTCAGCTGAGTGGACACCAACCCCTTTCTATGGCACACCCTCCACATTGACCTTACCCTTGTCCCTGTACTGTGTCTGCCCTGCAGAAGCTGAGCGTGCCCAGTGGATTCTCAGTGACTGCCCCAGAAAAGAGGGGCTGGGTCATCAACCCCCTGGGGGAGAAGAGCCCCTTCCCTGTGTGGATGATGGTTGCCAGCCTGCTGCCCGCCATCCTGGTCTTCATCCTCATCTTCATGGAGACACAGATCACCACGTGAGTGGTCCTAGCCGAAGGGGTATAAGGGCCAGAGCCCCAGGCCAAGCTGGGGAACTCAGCATGGAACCTCCAGCCATACTGGGCAATCCCAGGGACCTCAGGACACCTTGGATGCCAGGATGGCCACAGGAGTTTATTCTGTGGACAGCAGAAAAGCACCCTGATGTTTGCTGGGACAGGAACAGCACTTGGAGGGGCAGGCCAGCCTGGCAGTGCTCGCTGGGAGCTATCATGGAGGATAAGGACTCGGGGCCCAGGTTCTGCTCTATATGGAATTTGAATCCTGACAGAATGGACAGGGACCACCAGTTTCCAAAACCAATTGGAGGGACTGGCTGGACATTCTGGAAAGACCCTGTGGTCTGCAGAGCCGAGTCCACCCTGGGCCTCAGCAGCACCCCTCCTGCTCTCAGGCTCATCATCTCCAAGAAGGAGCGCATGCTGCAGAAGGGCTCTGGCTTCCACCTGGACCTGCTGCTCATCGTGGCCATGGGCGGCATCTGTGCCCTCTTTGGCCTGCCCTGGTTGGCTGCTGCCACTGTCCGCTCCGTCACTCACGCCAACGCACTCACTGTCATGAGCAAGGCCGTGGCGCCTGGGGACAAACCCAAGATTCAGGAGGTCAAGGAGCAGCGGGTGACAGGGCTGCTGGTTGCCCTGCTTGTGGGTATGTTGCCTCTTGCCCTTCCTTTCCCAGTGGATTCCCCAGGGCCACTGGGGCCCGGGGACCCTGGGGCCAACTGTTTCTCCTGCGCCTCCTGTAGGCCTCTCCATAGTTATCGGGGATCTGCTCCGGCAGATCCCCCTGGCCGTGCTCTTTGGAATTTTCCTGTACATGGGAGTCACTTCCCTTAATGGGATCCAGTTCTATGAGCGGCTGCATCTGCTGCTCATGCCGCCCAAACATCACCCAGATGTCACTTACGTCAAGAAGGTGAGCCCCCCAGCTCCCCACCAGAAGGGGTGCGCCTCTGCCCATCCTGGTCTACTTGGGTCACTGTCCATCTGCTCCCTCCCGTCTGCCCTTCCAGCTAGCCCCCACCTTCTCTCTACAGACCCTAGGAAGGTGCTTCCATCCCCACCTCTGAGGAGGGGAGAGGCTCATCCCAGGAGCAGGCTGGGGAGGAGCCTGGGCTCACCTGTCTCCATCCCCCAGGTCCGGACCCTCCGTATGCACCTGTTCACGGCGCTGCAGCTACTCTGCCTGGCCCTGCTCTGGGCTGTCATGTCCACAGCTGCCTCCCTGGCCTTCCCCTTCATCCTCATCCTCACAGTGCCGCTCCGCATGGTGGTGCTCACCCGTGTCTTCACCGAGCGAGAGATGAAATGCGTAAGCCCTCCCACCTGCCTCCCCCAGCCCCTCTTGGTCCCCTCTCATCTGCCTGTGGATCTAGAAAGGCTCCCCTTCCCTTCTTGACCACCACCCTCCCACACAGCTGGATGCCAACGAGGCAGAGCCGGTGTTTGATGAGCGGGAGGGTGTGGACGAGTACAATGAGATGCCCATGCCTGTGTAGCCGCCCATGCCTGTGTAGCCGCCGCTGAGAGACAGCTGAGAGACCGCCAAGAGACGGATGGATGAGGGGACAGGCTGGTGGGATGGGGTTCCCCCTCCCCTGCCCCTCCCTCCTCATTTTTATTTAAGTGAATAATTTAAAGTCCCCTCCTCCCCCAGTGCCCCTGCAGTAAAGTGCTTTGGCCCCCACTTATCTTTGGCCTTTTGTCTCTATGTGGGGGCATGAATGGAAGAGAGGCAGCGGTCCCAGCCCTGCTCCCCATCCCAAAAATGAGACTCACAATAGGGAAGGAAAGGAACTTTAATAGAAACCAAAACATAGGGAACCAAAGTGCAAATCGTCCACCCCCCATAGGGGGGCCATCCTGAACCCCACATCATCCCCTCACCCCCCTTCGGGCCCCCAGCGCAGGCCCAGGGCCTGGAGCTTCTGCCTCAGGTAGTTCTTGAGTTGGGGCAGACCTCTCTGGGACTCCAGTTCCTCAAAGGGTAGCTGCCAGGAGAGGAGAGGGTGGCAGGTTACCTGTGGGCTGGGAGTGAGGTTTTGCCACAGGCCAGGCCAGGGCCACTCACCGGCAGGAGCTGGTAGCCCATCAGGCCTAGGTGCCGCTCCCTCAGGGCCCTCGAGCCCAGCAGCACCCTGCCGTCCCGGCAGAAATGCCAGCGTTCCCGCAACACCAGCACCACCCTGTGGGGAGAGGGACATGGCTTAGGGCATGGTGGGCAAGGTGGCCAGGGCTCCCCCACCCTGCCTCCCTTACCTCTGGGCAGGGTCTCGGGTAGTGGGGCTAGAGGCAGCCTGTCCCTGGGGGCAGGACCTCGGTGGGTATGGCAGGAAGGGATCCTGGGTCCTCACGGGAAGAACAGCACCAGAGCTGCCGACACACAGCAGGAAGTCTGGAGGGGGAGCAGGGCGGGTGGTCTTAGCCAGGGCTCTGTCTCCCTGGGCCTGCGGCTGGCCCCTTGCTCACCTGTGCAGTAGCCTGGAGGCACGGTCAGGTCCTGGCGGTATTTCTCCTCCCCCAGCAGCTGGCGCAGCCCCTCAGCTACTATGTCCTTGTGACTGAGGAGAAAGGACACCAGTAGCAGGAAGGGCCCAGCGCCTCATCCTAGTCTGTCCCAGTCTAGTGCTGCCACCCTGCTGGGCAAAGCCCTCTGCTGCTTCAGGGTCCAGTTTTCTTTATGGGGCTGAGCACCTGAGCTTTGGCAATTCATGGTCCCTCTAGCTTTTCCACTCTCTGCTGCTCCCAGGCCAGCCCCTCCCCTTGCCCCAGGCTGTCCCATCCACCTGTACTTGCAGCGGGCACGGTCGGTGATGAGAGGCTGGGGAAAGATGGGCACTTGCTGCCTTCGGGGAAGGCGGGGACCCCGGTATCCTGGGAGCTCCAGCTCCACGGCCGTGTCCAGCAGGGAGAGGTAGCGACGCACAATCAGAGCATGAGGGGTGCCTGTGGGGAGGTGGGGACTGGGGCTCTGGGCTGCAGGCCACCCTGCTCCCCTGCCTCTCCAGCCCTCAGGGCCCCAGCCAGCCATCCTGGTCGCGTACCACTGATGTAGTTGATAAAGCCAGGGGAAAAAACAAAGTGCAGGACTCTGAAGGGCAGGCACCGCAGTTGGCACAGTGACATCAAGATGTTGACCGTAGCCAGGGGTGCCACCCCTGCTTCCCGAGCCAGGATCCTCTCAAGGCAGGGCATAAACTGCTGTTCCAGGGGCAGGTAGTTCAGCCGCCCAAAGGGCAGGACCAACTTCTGTACCACCTGTGAAGGAAGAGCAGTTCATTACCCAGTGTGAAGTGTTTCTGCAGTCATCTTTCACAAGCTAAGCCTGAAAGGCTAAGCCAAGTTTATAACATTGCTGTAAAGACAGGACAGCTCCTCCAGCCTCACAGTTCAACAGCAAAGCAGTCATGAGCTGCATGTGACTAATCACCAGACAGGCAGAGGGGACATCACTGTGGGGTCTGGCCCTGAAGACTTCCAGGAGAGGGATGGGTGGAGCTAGGATGGTGCTAAGTGCTTTAGGAAACTGCACAGTTCCAGGAATACGTGCTGCTGACGGGAGGTGGGCAAGCCACAGAGGTGTGGGAAAAGATGCAGGTTCCAGGAGACGGAGAGGATGTATCTGCTTCAGGAAGAGGACAGCCAAGCTGGACAGGGCACTTGGCTTGACCAGGTCCCTGAGAATGACTCAGGGATGCACAGGAGGTGGGAGGCAAGCCCACCTTGCTGGTGAGCTGGTTTTCCTGAACCACTAGGAAGTGGGCAATGGCTTCCAGAAGCTGGGGCTCCCGTAACCGGTGCCGGGCCAGGTGCTGGGCCAGGAGCACCATCACATGGGGCGTCAGTTCCTCTGGTCTTGTCTCTGTGAAGAACAGCCTGTCACAATGGGCCTCAGGCCGGACCTCCAGCTGGCTCAACTCCACCTCAGCCTAGCTAACTGAGCCCACTTTCCTCCTCCTGTCAGCCCTCCCTTTCCCCATCTGCCTTTAACCCCCTCAAGCACCTGCCAGGCTGCTGATCAGATGCTGCCGTGGATACCGCAGAAAACGGGGGCAGCTCAGAGCAGCTTCCAGCCTTTGCCCACCTCGGAGAAGAGACGACAAAGGGGGAGGTGGCTTCGGAGGGAGGCGGAGCCTTCGCTCCTGCTCCAGGGCGCGCACCAGGGGACCATCAGATGGAAAGCCTGAGGGGAGAGGTGAAAGGCAGCCTGGTAACAGAGCTGTGCAGCTGTTCTAATCATGGGGTTACTTGGTGAATTCCCCACCATTCTCCTCTCCACTTCCTGAGCGGGAAGGTGTGCTAGAGTTTAAGTGCAAACACTGGAGAAATGTAAACTATCATGTGACTATGAGGTATCAGAACGGTCTGTGGGGAATACATACAAAGATGGCAAAACAGGCTTTCATCTTGTGCCAATTGTGACACGTTATAGTGGCTTCCTAGGGCACTCTATTAGCAAGAATCTGGGGTGGCACCCTAGCGAGGCTGGAATGAGTGCGTTCGACTCATGATGTCTCACAGAACGGGAGCAAGAGCGAGCGTTCCTGGGTACACGCCTGATAGGCTGGGTCTCTGTCCATGGTCCTCTCCTGTTTTCCCTATTCTTCATTAACACCCAGCAGCCCCCCAGGCGCCCACCTCAAGCCCCTCCTCACCAAGTAAGACTGCAAGGTGCAGACACACGTGGATGGTGTGCACGTCAAAGGAGGGGCAGTTTCGGATGATGAGCTGACTCAAGTCCTGCAGTGTGGCCTGCTCCACAGGAGGGGGCCGTGGCCTAGACCCCAAGAGTTGGCCAAGACGACGAAGCGCCACCGGGTAGTGGTGGGCGCGCACCTTGGTGGGGTTCTGGCCCAGCCAGCGCAGCAGCTCCCCAGGGCTCCTCGCCTGTTCCAGAAGCCGCTGCAGCCCTTGCACATGACCTGTACTGGGGCTTCCTCCAAGAGGCCAGTCTCCCCATTTGCTGGGTCCCAGACAGCAAGGCTGTACTGGCGGGATCAGCAGCAAGCCAGACAGCCGAGTAGGGGAGGTCTGAGCAGAGAGCAGGACTCGAAGCATTGAGTTGGGTGATGGAGACCCTGAGGGGCAGCCCAAAAAAGGGGGTGAGGCTTTCTCCAAAGGGAGAAAGACCTGCTACCTACTCCTTACCTCACTCCTCATTCAGGGGACCTGGGTTCGAGCAACCCTTTGTGACTGCTCTGGGCCTCTTCCCCGCCCCGCCCCTCTGCCTCTTTCCACTGCTTTGAAACAGCAATCATAATCCTCAGTGCGTTCAGCGCAGCACTACTTGCAAAGCAATTCCACATGCACCATCCCTGATGCTCTTACACGCCCATGAGGAGTAGGCAGGGCTGGCATTACCTCATTTCACCGGTGAGAAACGCAGGCCCAGAGCGGCGGAGAGGTTAAGCCCGGGGTCATGAACCGGGTTAGTGGTCGCGCCCAGTCTGGAGCCCAGGCGACACCGGCGTGCGCTCTCCCGACCACCTCCCTCTCCCGCAGGAGGCGGCGGCGGCAAAGAGAGTGGAACGCGGGGTGCGCGGCTGGACGGTGCTGGGTTCCATGCTGGGCGCTCCCACTTACCAGCGGCGTGACCTTGGACAAGCGGCTTCGTCTCTCCAAGTCTCCTCACCCGTGAAATGAAAACGCAGCGCCCACCTCGCAGGGAGCGACCGGGGCCCGAGTGCGCCGCTATGCGATGGCGCGGAGTCGGCGAAGTCGTGGACCCCACACCCACCCAGGCCCAGGGACGCCAGGAGACCGTGGCCGCTGCCGCTAACACCAGCTCCCGCAGCCCTCCCGCAGCCCGCCCCGCAGGCGCCACCCCTACATGACTCCCCGGGCCCTGCGCAGGTCGCTCCCTCAGTCGGTCTCGGGGCCCGGGGGCCAGGCTCCCCCCGCGGCCTCCTCATCGGCCGGCCGCCGAGTCCGCCATCTTCCCAGCAGCCCCTGGATCGCCGCCCGGACACCAATCCCGGCGCTGCGCTCGGCTAGCGGAGACGTGGCTCCCGGCAGGCACTGCGAGCCAGGGAGCCGCGAGCCCGCCCCCGGGAAGTGCGCGCGCGGCGCCGGGGGCGGGGCCACGGAGGCGGGGCCACGGAGGCCCGCGCTGAACACCCGGCGGAACACCCCGGAGAAGGGAAGGCGGTGGACCAGGGCGTAGGGCGCAGTCCGTGCCCTTCTCTCCCAAGGGGCGAAGACTCCCCGCCCGCCACCCCGCACACACTCAGACACACTGCAAGAGTGAAAACTTCACAGTTACTTTAATCTGCACGGGTTCCGGGGAACTCCTCTGCCCCTCCCCGCTCCCCTTCACCAGCCTCCCACGGTCCTGGCGTCCGCAACTCAGCCCATGGTGCTGTTAGGGACTGGAAGCGGCTGGGTCCTCCGGCAGAACGCTAAGACGGGCCCGGGGGGCGGCCCGTCTCTGCCCGGGGCCGAGGCAGCGACAGCAGGTCCCTGACCCCGAGGAGCCCACTCCCAGTGCTGGCTGAGGGCCAGCAGCCCCGGGAGGCGGCCCCGAACCACGGCGATCGCAGGGCTGGGCCTCTGCCAGCCCCGGGAGTCCTCTGCGGCGCAGGGCTGGGCTCCAGGGCAGCGGGAAGAGGCAGGCCGGAGAGGCGGGCTTGGGCAGGCAGCAGTTCCCGCCACGGCGCGGGGAACAAGGTCCAGAGTGGCTGGCGATGCCGCCAAGCGCCCGCGGAGGCACTACGGGCGGTACATGGCAAAGGCCAGGAGACTGAGGAGCAGGGTGAAGCCGGCCAGGCCCAGAGTGGCGGTCAGGGGAAAGAACGGCCGGTACTGGATCTGGCAGTACCAGAGCAGCAGCAGCAGCAGGAGCAGCAGGGGCAGCAGCAGGCTGCCGATTTCCAGCCCGGAGGGGCCGGGCTCGGACCCCGGAGGGCAGGGGGGATTTGGGGGGCCGACCCTCGTGGACACGTGGCAGTGGAGAACGCAGTTGGGAGGGAGGTGAAGGCTGCCCAGGGTCTGGGTGTCGTCGCCTAGCAGCTGCCCTTGGTAGATGAGTCGCACCTGCTGTTCCCGGCCGGGAAACTGGGTCCTGAGGAGAGAGGGACCTGGGTAAGAGAGCAGGCCTCAGGCAATCCTAGTCCCGGGTCCCGGAACAGCACTCCCACCCGCCCCCTGCCCTCCACACCGCACCGGACCTGGCTTGGGAGGGGCCATCTGCCAGGGGAACAAGTGTAGTTGTGATGTGGGGCGCTCAGCACCTCCAGTATAAACGAGGGCTGGGTCTCAGATCTCTCCGGGGGCCTTCTGCGACTACTCCCCCCACCCCTGTCTTTAGCATTGCTCCCGCCTCTTGCCCTGCTTACCTTTTTAAGGAGCCAATGGTGTCGTGGGGCCAGGCCCTGGCCACCTGCTCTGAATCATTGAGGAATTTCAGCCGTAGCACGAGGGGCTCCTGCGGGGAGTCCAGGGCTGGCTGTGTCGGTGTTGCTGTGACCCCCGTGCTGGGCTCTGGCTGTGCAGCTTGACCTCTGTATCTCAGGCTGGGGGTCTCTGGCCCTGGGGCCTCCCCTCTCATGCTGTCGGTAGCTGCCATGGCTGCGCTGGGCTGGGCTGGCGATGGGGTCCCTGACAGCTGGGGCAGTGGGTCCCCGCCCTCAGCGGTGTGCGTTGAGACCCAGGCAAGGGCCAGCACCAGAAGGCAGGCAAGCACCGAGAAAAGGACGGTCACCTCATCACCCACCCCTTCAATCAGGGTCATGGCGCTTGCCTTGCCCGCCGCACTACCGAGCTGGAGAGGCACAAAAAGCCCGTGAGGCGCGAGCCCCCCTGGCCAGGGGCCCTAGAACCTCCACAGGATCCTGCCCCGACTCCACCGCTATGCTCCCAGCGTCCTCAGCCTCCGTCCCCTCACCCACCCCAGGGTACCGGCTGCTCTGCCTCCCAGTTGCCCCAAACTTGCGTCCGGGTGCCCCTTCCCATCGCCGAATCCCAAGTCCTAACTTTCTGTCTTCTGAGCTCGAGGTCTTCAACCAGCTCCCAGCTCACCCAAACCCTATGTCAAGGTAAGGGCCCCGACCTTCTAAGCAATGCCTCCCCTAAACTTCACCCCGACCAAACTGCACCCCCAAGCGTATCTATTCTCCTGTCCACTTCACTCCAGTGTGTCCACTCCTTCACCGACTTCACCCCAGGCTCATCTACTCCGTTGCTAAAGTTTCTCCGAAGTAGGGGTGGAGCCTCTGTACCCCCACCCCCCACCCACAGCTTTGCCGTTCCCCCAAACCCCACCCGCGGCACCGGACTGCTTCCCAGGCTTCCCCCACAGCAAACGTCAAACTCGCCCCTGGGCAATCTGGAGCCTCCAAGCGTCACCACCCACCCAGCTCGCCCCCCTCCTGATACCCTCAACCCCTCTCCCCGGAGGCCCAACTCTGCGCCTCCTCTGGAAGCCTCTCCAAGCCAAACCCCAGATCCCGCCGGGAATCCGAGACTTCACGCTCCCCGCCCCCACCCCTCGTCACCCCTCCCACCTTCCCGCCCCCCGGAGCCGCAGGAGGGCACGGCGATCCGGGGCAGCGCGGGCGGGGCCGGGCTGGGGCCCTGGGTGGCGGGGTGGGCGCGGTCGCGGCGCGGAGACTTACCGCACGGGTCCCTCAGCTCCATCGCGGCCCCTCGGGCACTTCCGGGCAGGAGGCGCGGAGGTCGCAGGCACCTGAAGCACCCCTCCTTCCCCGCTGCCGCGGCCAGGGGCATTGTGGGACTTGTAGTCCGGCGCCGCGCTGTCCCCGCCCTCCGCCTTGCGGACCCACGTGCGGGGTTCGACCTGCGGTTCCCGGCGCCTGGAGATCGCTGAGGGGCCGGTGGGGGCGGATTTGGGGGTTGTGCTACCCCCTAGGGGTTTGGATGGCAGCAGGGTCTGCCCCCTCCCCCTCCAACAGCCAGGGCATCTGTCACACCAGACACCGACGTCAGCTGGAGCACGTCAGAGCGCCCGTGTTCGTAATGCAGTGAGGAAGGCTCTGAGGAACTCAGAGGGCCCCTACCCTTCTGTCAGACTGGGCGCCAGAAGGCGCTTTGGCTACCAAAATTAATTTTTCAGCCCAGAGCCCAATATCCATGGGCTGACCCACCAGGCTGCCTAGGAATACCCATCCTCAGGGCTGCCCCTTACCCTGGTCCCCTCCTCCACCTTGCCCCTTTAGGACTGTGAAAGAAGCATAGACTTTGGAACCTGGCACGAATCCTGATCCCTTATCCTGTGCTTATCAGCTATATGACCTTGGGTGGGTTGTTGCATCTCTCTGAACATTAATTTCTTCCTTTCTAAAACACACTTTGTAAGTCAACCATAAGGAAGAAATTAGATGATTTATTCAAAAAAGTGAAAACTATATAAGGTACATGTCACACGGTAGATATTTGTATTAGTATACTCCCTTCACCCAAACCTGGGCTTGGGAATTGGGTCCTTGGTGTGTTACTGTGTGGATGGTGTTGAATCCCAGGCCTGTGGATATCTGTGGATTTTTCCCTTTGGGCTCCTGCAGCCGCAGAGATCTCACATCCTGGTTTTTACGGGCCAGTCTTGATTTAAAATAATCTATCCTAGACTTCCCATAGTTCATGCCTACTTGTGGGAGCAAGTGGTCCAAATATTGCCTTAGGAAAGTCAGTCTAGATAGATACCATACAGAACTAACCTATCTCTAGTTCTTTCCCTCCTGTTCATTCACTTATTCTACTAACATGTTTTCAAAATATGTACCATGACCAGGCGTGGTGGCTCACATCTGTAATCCCAGCACTTTGGGAGGTTGAATTGGACAGATCACCTGAGGTCAGGAGTTCGTACCAGCCTGGCCAACATGGTAAAACCCTGTCTCTACTAAGAAAAAAAAATCTATCTATAGATATAGATATATACACACACAAAAAAATTAGCTGGGAGTGGTGGTGGGCACCTGTAATCCCAGCTACTGAGGAGGTTGAGGCAGGAGAATCACTTAAACCCAGAACATGGAGGTTGCAGTGAGCCAAGATTGAGCGACTGCACTGCAACCTGGGTGGCAGAGTGAGACTCCGTCTATATATACATACATACATACATACATACATATATATATATGTCTAAAAATACATTTTATGTATACACACACATACACAAACACTATGTGCCAGGCATTGTGCAAGTTACCAGGAATAAAATGGTGAATTGGACCCTCTTCCTGCCCTCATGAGGCTCAATATACTAGTAGAAGAGCCAGATGTGTGGACAGCGCATCAGTGCTATAACAGGTGTGTGCTACTTGCTGGGGCAACACATTTGAGGAGCTCTTTGCTCTTAGTGTCTCTCTTGGGAGGTATACCTGGTGCTACTTCCTGCTGTCAATTCTAATTAAGCATCTAAAAGAGATGTTGGATGTTACTTTTAGAATTATACAATGTCAGAACTAGGTTTTCTGTTCAACTACTATATTTTGCAGATGAAGCCCAGAGAGGGCAGAAGATATCCTTAAGGTTATGCAGGGAAAAAGAAACACATGTCCTTCAGGAGCTTAGGAGACCCCATGTGTTGATTAGCTTTCACCAGGTGCTTTGGAAGGTACAAGGAACTCAGGAATAGTGACTGGGTTGGTACTGGGGCTGAGTTGTGTGGATAATCAAACAGTGGGCAGCTTCATGCTGGGAAAAGGTCCAGCTTGGCTGGGGAAGTGGAAGTGTGTGGAAGAAGGATGATCTGGGGTAGCAGATCCCAGCAACATCCCTGGCAAATTTATTGGCTGGCGCCACTGCTCTGCACGTCACCTCTTGCAGGTTTTAGGAAACATTGTGTGTGTGTGTGTGTGTGTGTGTGTGTGTGTGTGTGTGTGTGTGTGTGTTGGTGAGGGCGGTGCTAACAGAACTGCAGCCCAGTTTGGCAATGGGACTGCAGAGGAACTGGGACATTGCAGGGAGCTCCCTGGCCCCAGAGGGAGTGAAAGGACAGGATGGACAAGGGGTGAGGACAAGAAAAATTAAGAGCCACGTGGGCTCTGGTTAGTCTCTCCAATGGGATGGGTAGGGGAGAAGGGCATATAATATTTCATCCCACTCTTCTTCCTCTATCTACCAATGGGGTCGGGTAGCATTTAGCTAACCTCCCCAATCCGGCAGGGGGAGGGTCTTTTAGGAGAGGCCGATCACAAGAAGGTAAGAGTAGGGGCGTGTTTGTTCAAAGTATCATTTCCAGATCCGCAGATGATGAAGGCTCAGGGAGAACTGGAAATAGCAGCCCACAACCCATCCCAGCCTCTGAGCTGCAGCTGGCAGTGAAGAGCCTGGGCAGGGGGCCAGGGAGAGAACTCCGGTAGTAGGGTGGTCTCTAGGGCTAACCTCGGAGCCTGGGGACAGGGGAGCCTTTGCCGCACTGAAGGCGGGACGCCGTAAGCGAGGCGCAGCTGGGCCTGGGCGGGCTCCTCGGCCAATCAGCCTTGGTCAGCAGCACCCTCAGACGCAGGGCACAGTTTGGGCATTGCCTAGAGATCGGACACCCCGCTCAGATCAGCTCAGGGAGGCGAAAGCGACAGCCGGGAGCGGGAGGAGACCGGGGCAGCTGTCCCCTCAGAGAGGGTGGCACTCGAGGCAGTGTGGGTGGGGGCTGGTGAGGAGGCGGAAGGGCCGAGGCTGGGTGGGAGGGGCCCGGGCTCCTGGGCTGGAGCGGGCGGCTTGTGGGTGGAGGCTGCAGAACCAGCGAGCAAGCGAGGGGCGGGGGCGCCTGGGTCGGCGCGCAGGAGGGGCGGGGGCGGCGGGGAGGGGGGCTCGGGCTGCGTGTGCCGGAGCCGGCGGGGGCGGCGGTGCGTGCGCATGACGCGGGGGGAGGGCCCGGGCGGCGCGCTCCCGGTCCCGTTGTTGTTGCCGCTGGAGGCTGCTCCGAGGCAGTGGGATCACGGCGCCGGGAAGCGCTCGGCAGCGGTGGCCACAGCGTGCGCGGCGGCGCCTCCTGGCCTCGGCCTCCGGCCCCCGACCCCCGGCTCCATGCGCTAGCCCCGCGCCGCCGGCCCAGTAGTCCCGGCCCCGCCAGCCCCGCGCGCCCGCTCGCCGCCGCCGCCGCCGCCGCGCCGCCCCCGGCCCGCCTCGGGCCCCACGGCTCCGAAGCCATGAACTTCCAGGCGGGCGGAGGGCAGAGCCCGCAGCAGCAGCAGAGCCTGGCGGCTCCGGGGGGCGGCGGCGGTGGCGGCGGCGGCGGCGCGGGGGGCGGCGGGCAGTTCGGCGGCGCGGGGCCCGGGGCCGGGGGCGGCGGCGGCCCTTCGCAGCAGCTGGCCGGCGGGCCCCCCCAGCAGTTCGCGCTCTCCAACTCGGCGGCCATCCGGGCCGAGATCCAGCGCTTCGAGTCCGTGCATCCCAACATCTACGCCATCTACGACCTGATAGAGCGCATCGAGGATTTGGCGCTGCAGAACCAGATCCGGGAGCACGTCATCTCCATCGAGGGTGAGCGGAGCTGGGAGCTGTGGAAGCCGGGGCACGGTGGCCTCTCCCGCGCGGGCCGAGGGCTCCACGGGCCGGGCCTGGCTGTGCTTTCCCAGTGGGGTTCCTTGCGCGCTTGAGGTCCGGGCCACGAGGTTTGCCGATCTGTGCTGCAGAACCGGCGAGCAGCTTCGCCATATCTCGTTCAGGGACACTTTGGGGTTGGGGGTTTTCTTCTCTCTGTGCTCCAGGGCGCGAAGCTGGTGTCGCTCCGGGGGGCCTGGACCAGATGTGTCCAGACCTGGCCGGGGAAGGTGGGCGCGGCAGACGGCTTCAGTTGCCGGGAGGTGGGGCCGTGACCGGGGAGGCTTCTTAGCCGCTGCCCCGGCCCTGCTCCGCAGTGGGGCGGGGGATCGGAGCTTCGCATTAGTGGATGGCAGCCTTCCCGGGCCCAGCGCCCGCAGGCCCGGAGGGTGGCGCTCGCCGCGGCGCCCTCTCCCGACGCACACCCCCTACGCCGTCGCGGCCAGGCGGGCGCGGGCCGGGCCTGGCGCGGGGCTGCGGCGCAGCGACCGCGTGGGAGGCGCCGGCAGGTCCATCCGCGCCTTGGCTGGGTCCTGAGCGCGCCGGGGACCCGCGGCTTCTCGGTCTGGAGGCAGCCGCGGGGCAGCCGGGCGCTGACTGACCTCCAGGAACACCGAACCCGGAGTCGGGGACCGGAAACCCCCGGCCACTAAGCTGCCTAGCGCTCCTTTCTCTGGGCCTTTAGGCCCTGGACTTTCGACCGCTGAGGGCACAGGAAGTGGGGGCAGCTGCTGGCGGATGCCCCGTGAGTCCTGGTGTAGTGGGGCTGGCGGCACCCGCAGGCACCCCAGTGGCATGGTGACCTTCGAGCGTTCGTGGACAGATGGGCCTCGCCCTGGGCCATCTGCTTCCTCCTCCAGCTCTGTTTGAAAGGGGACGCCCACCGGCAGGTGGTGGGTTTGGCCTCAGTGGAAATGCAGCGAGAGCCAAGGCATTTTGGGATAACATGGAGCTGTGGGCCTGTCCGTGATTTGGGCCTTAAGGATAGGGCCCCTTCCAGCTTCATCTGCTTGCCTGAGGTTCTGCGGGTAGTGCATCTGAACACCTCCCTTTCTGCTTTCAGAAGTCCCCATACTAGGGAAGAGGTATTGGGTCTGGGGGGACCCCATGTGCTGCTGGGTCCTGTCTTTTGTTGTAACATGACAGTCTGACTTCCTTCTGCCTCTTCCCAACTCGTTTTTATTTCTTTCCTCTCAAGGCTGAGTTCTCTGTGAACTAATTAGGTGACAAAAAACTCATTAACGTGGATCTGAGTAAATGGCCTGAATCACCGCTGTGGCTGGGGACTAGGAGATGGCATTTGTGCGAGCCCTGGGCCCCAAAGTGAGGAGATGACCAATTTTTCCTCTTAGATCTGAAAAGGGTGGAGGCGGGAGAGACATCGTTGCTGCAGCTTCACTGTCCTTGGAGGAAGTGAAGACATTCCTAATCTGCTCCAAGCTTACCTTCCCCCAGCTCCTTTTGGAGGGTGACAAGCTTCGTGGGTTGGCCACAGGATGTGGGGCGGTGGGGGGGGTGCATATCTGCTTCTGAGCCCTTCCCAGAACAGGGAGAGGTTTCTGGTCTCCACACAGGCTCCAGCGTCCTGAGCAGCGACCCCTCCTCCCAAGCTCCAGGGAGCCTCTGGTTGGGTATCTTCTGTCATGTGAAGGTGGTGATTCCTGGGGCACCCTTGAATTTTTTGCCTGGTCTTAAATTTAACACAACAGGCAGAATTTCCCCTCTTAGGGCCCTCCCTTGACTGACTTCCCCATTGCGGTCTGGAAATACCCCACAGTTCCATCTACCAGGCCTGGAAGCTCGGCCTCACCCTTGTGAAATCCTGGGAGCTGGTGTCTCACTGTCACCAGACCGACCCAGCTGTGGCTCACACATCCGTTCCCAGCCCTGCTGTTTCCACTCCTGGGCCCTGCTGCCCTGCTCTCCCTCCCTCCCCCCTGCCCAGCCTCTCCTGACACCATTGTCTTTATCCACTTGACCCCTCTTGCATTCCCACTTTTCAGCTGTAGGCAGTCTTCAAAAGAAAAAAAACCACTCCTTCTCCAATTTCTGCCCTATATCCTTCCTGCGATAGAACTCCTCTCCATCTGCCAAACCATATTGCTTCTGTCCTGCGAAGCAAGCGTCCCCACCTTCTTTCTTTGAGGAGGGAGAGGCACAGACTCTCTGGGCGTTTCCGAGCATAGTCTGAGGCTGGACTGAGACCCAGCCCCCCAACGCCAGCCCCAGAGCCGTACAGACCTGGGCTGTTACATAAACAGTGTCAGCTGGGGGCTGGGTCCTGTGTTTCCTGGGGATAAGCCTCTCGTGGAAAGCGGTGGCAGGTTCCGAGTATATAACAAAGCCTCTCCCACTCTGTTTAGGCTTCAGTGAAGGGTTTGTGTGTCCCAACTCTGAAGGTGACTTGGGGCATGTGGTCAGGATTGGTTTGGCACCGAGAAAGTGCAGTGGGCACTTGGGCCTCCTGTAGTCTCTTGGCCACTTGAAGTCATTTCTGACCCCGTGTCCAGGGCAGGAGGAAGCTGGGGAGGTTTGGCCTTCCTGTGTTTCAGGCCAGGATTTGTGGGGAGGGAGACCATCTTGAAAAGTTCCTTTCCCACCAGAGGCCAAGGAAAGAGAAAACCTGCCCATTGCTTGGCCTTAGGGAGTGGAAGAAGTACAGTCCGCAGCTGGGAGGGAGAGCTGGAGGGCTCACTATGTGCAGAGCTTCTGAATCACCTTCCCTTCACTAGTGGGGAAACTGAGGCTCAGAGAAGGGAGGGGACCAAGCAGATATAGCCAGGAAGAGTCTGGGCCTCCAGCAGGAGCCGGCTTCCGGCTTGGCACTCACCTACGAGCGCTCCCTGACAGAGTTTCCTGGCTCAGTCCTAGAAAGAGCGATGCAGGAGAACCAGGGCCTCCGTCCAAATGGGGACACTGGGCACGTGGAGCGCAGGACGCTGGGCCAAGCTAGCCAGGAGCCCCAGGAAGCTGTTGGGAAAAGCAGCCTGGGAGCCAGCAGGTCCTAGAAAGGTCTGCTGATCCCAGTCAGTGTGTGCAGGGAAGGACCGGGCAAAGGGAGAAGCAGGGGTTCGGGGAGGGCCTGGGGCCCTGCTGGCGGCTCCAGAGAGGCTCCCGCCTGGAGGTGGAAGTGGACCTGACTACTAGGTGTGTGCGCCATATGGTGACTATTGTGCGTGCAGGACCTGGGCTTTGTCAGCTGGGTGACTTGCTCAAGTTCCTCCCTTGTTTTCCCCCAGGGCCTTTTTTTTTTTAACAGTTTCTTTGAGTATTCCAGCCAGCCTGGCCTGGCTGCCAGAGCGTTCTCGCCCTCACCCCATTCACTTTTCATTCAGTTCACAGGCTGGGGGCTTGGTGACATCCTAAAGGGACTAAGGTAAAGAGATGTGGGGGTTTCTTGTTTGGGTCAAGCCTCGGCTAGACAGAGAAGGGGCCGCAGCTGTGGCCGCAGTTGGGTGGCAGCTTAGAGGGAGAGGAAAAGGGTGCCCACCCTGGCATCCCAGCCCATAGCCCGCACCCTGGCAAGCAGGCCTCCCTCAGGCACACCTGGGTTTAGCGTTTGTGTCTGTTCTGTTCGTCCTGTGACTTGGTGCTGCAGGACTGGCATAATGGTATTCATGTTTGTGCCAGGCGCTCTCTCAAGCTTTCCTTACTGTTCCTGGGTGGGCCCGGCCTATATTCCCCTGTGGACCTGGCTACACCACACACTGCTGAGGCTGCCTTCAAAGACGAGGACTCGGGAGGTCTGGGATGGGCGCTGGGGACGTGCGTCTGGAACCAGCCTGGGCCCCTCTGGCAATTCATTGGTTTAGGGACTGAGCGTCTAATGGGGGCCTGGATGCTTATGTGGGACTTTGCTCACAAGAGTTCTAGGAATTCTGAAAAAGAGCATAACCATGTGGGTGCTAGTAGCCAGGGAAAGCTGCATTTGTTCCAGATACATTCATTTAGCTGCTACTGTGTGGCCCAGTTGCATCTAGCACAGTGAAAAGCAGACGATCAAAGGAGAGCAAGGGAGAGAAGGGGCCAGAAGGTCTGGGCTTAGTGCACCCAGAGAAAATGACTCAGCCTGTAGGAGGTGCCAGAGAGGCACTGGGAGTGCGGGAAGGAGCCCCAGATTTTCAGAACACCGGAGCAGAGCAAGGGTCAGAAACTTGGGCAGCCTCATCAAGACCTCCTCCTTCTGAGTCAGAAGCCGGCACGGGAAGACCTGTCTAGCCTGATCTCAGGCTACACGGCCTCGGGTCAGTACAGTGACCCATTCACTGCTCAATCTAGGTCTACACTCGGGCTCTCCCTCAGCGGTGGTACCCACAGATGAAGCAGTCCTTGTCCCTACGGTGCCCCCTGGCTATCTTCCTGTGTCATTTTTTCTTTTCTCAAACGTGCCAGGCCTGGGGGTCAGGAGGGTTTCCACATAAGGAAACAGGATGACAAAGGCAATGGGAACGAGAACATGGGTCCCAGGGAACAGCAAGTGGGGCTCTTTAGCTCGGGTGTGCAGTCGTAGGAGATGGATGGGTGAGGTGGGCAGGACCCTGGTGGAGTATTTAATGCTTTCTCCTGTATTTATTTCCACCCTGCCATGTTCCTAGAAACCACGGGAGCTGGCCCGTCATTCTGTGGGAGGTGGGTATCACGAAGGCTTTAGGCCTTTGAGAAGGCCTGAGCCACGCCAGCGTCCACACCGCTCGTTTGTGCTTGTGAGCCCCCCACCAGCTGTCAGCGCATCCCTGGCCCAGAAGTAGAGGGAGCGAGGTGCTCTTCTCGGAAAGCAGGTGTAGCCTGGGAGAGCCGAGGCTGGAGAGAAACAGACACCCTCGTAAGAACTCCCATGTCCCTGTGTGGCATTGCCTAAACATCCACCCGTTGTGTTAGTTTCTTTCTCTTTTTTTTTTGGAGACAGAGTCTCACTTTGTCGCCAGGCGCCAGGCTGGAGT